TATTATCTGCAATTGATTGATATATTAAGAAAGATGTTGTACCAGTTTTAAACTAAAACTTAAAAAACAGACCAGAAAAAAAAAAAAAAAAAATAAAAGCCCAGCCATAGATCAACTGAAGGCACTACCATTGGTACCTTAGTAGTCACCATTCTGTACAAGAAAGTCATTTTATAATTTCAGCGGAAGTAAAATTGTGACAGAAAATTGGTAAAATAGTATTCCTGAAACCCTCAGCAAAATGTTCGGGGAGAGTGGCTGTAGTGATGGCATTTGGCTGTGCTTTCCGGCACTGACTGTCCTCGCACCAGGGGCACAATAGGTTAGCTGCGAAAACGAGTCTATAGTGAAATCTTTATGAATGTTAAATTGAACTAGTTGCTAGTGATTTTTCTCTTAAGATGGGAGGGGTTACTCGCTTTCTTAATTTAAAGATTATACTAAATTTCTCAGGGTCATTCCCAGCTGAGAACAATTGCCTTTCCCTCAATCCCAGGTGAGAACAATCACTTCGAAGAATTATCGATTCCGAAATTACTCTTGCACTGTTGAGTATAAGGCATTCACCATAGAGATGAGCGAGAAAGAATGACATCACCATGTTCTCAGGATGTATAACCAATGGAGGCTTCTTAATTTAAAAAGCACTTGGTGGCCTTTGCACAGCACCACGCCCTTCTACATTTGCACCCTTGATCTTCCTTCTCCTCTCTCTTCGGAAAACACATGAAACCCATTTCAGGCTCCGCCCACCTCCCTTCCCCCTTATCTTTCTCCTCTGGAGGAGGAGTCGACTGGCTGGCGAGACGCGTCTGCCAGTAAGCGGTTGTGGTCAGTGTCGCCCTTAATCCACCCGTCCCGGTCTCGCCCTAGCGGATCTGGAACTAAAGAGAGAAGCGGAGATAGTATCTATAAGCCCCGTACTTCCATCTCCTACCTTAGGTGGGCCTGATAAATCCCTTGCAGGTAAGAATATGCTCTCTTTCATACCGCAGTCAGTTGTAGGCTGCCTAGAACTGGGCGGGTGCGACCTGCTGAGCCTTTCAGCTTCTGAGTGGGGAATGGGAGGACGACGCTTCTAAACCCAGGGCAGTTTTAGGGGAAGAAGGGGGCCTGCCTAGGGCAAGTGTGGTGTGGAATGCCTTTGGAGCCCGACGGCGGAGCCCTTGCTTTAGGGAGAGCTTTCCCTTTTCCGGAACTCTTGCCTTTCTTTCCTGATCGCTTGTCCTCGCTTTTTCTCTTCTGAACTGGCCGCTGTGGCGCTCCCTTTTCCCATGTCTCGAACGCAATGGGCGCGCCACGCTGCTTGTGTGGGCGGGTAGCTGGTTGGTTGGTTAAGGCGATTTCAGGGCTGCTGTAACGCCGAAAAAAAGTGATGGAGGCTTTTCCGTGTAAGGCGCTCGTTTCCACTGCAGTGTTAAACTTATTCCAAGCGAGATATGCTGGGCCTACCTGGAACTCCGTCTTATTGCTTGAGTCCAGACAGACCTGAAGTTGGCTTTAGCTGGGAAGGGGTGGCAAATCCAGTAAAGAGAAAAACTTATCTCACCTTTATTGAGGTGAAGCACTAAGCAAATCGTTCTGGAACACTATCTCCAGATTTCTGAAGTCGGCAGCTTTCTTCTGTTACTTATGCTGCCTCTAAATAAGGTTCTATTGTTGATAATGATGGATGTTTATATACATTGGTAGACTTGTTCACCACTTGAGAGCCAGTGGGGAATAGCTGTTAAGGCACCAAGCTAGAAACTGGGAGACCCTGAGTTACTTCTGTCTTACTCGAAGCCAGCTGGGTAATTGAGCCAGTCCTTGTCAGCCTAAAAAAACAAAGGTAATTCACTTCTGAAAATTGTAGGGATTTGTTCAGGTGTTCACCCAGAATACTTAACTTGAAAGTGCACACACCCACCCACACACCCAAATATTCTCTACTTATTTATTTCTTTAAGGGTTATTTAGTTGTGCTATTTATACAATATATTTAGGAGTTAAAACTCAATAAAAGCAACAATTCTTCAGGAAAGTATTTATTCTGCTTGTGTATTGTTTTACTAATTTGGAAGTCCATATGAAGTTCTTTTATGACTGTCATTCTGAGTTGTTGAACAGAAAAAAAACCTGAATATTTTAAATCCTATTAATGCAAACAATTTCTTTTGTTCTAGGTCTTTGTGTGAAATATCTGCAGGTAAAAATGGCAACAAATAAGCCTAAAAGTCAAAATTCTTTGGCTCTGCATAAAGTAATTATGGTAGGCAGTGGGGGAGTAGGAAAATCTGCATTGACTTTACAATTCATGTATGATGAGGTAAGAATTCAGAATGTTTTTCTTTAAATTTCTATATGTATTTTCAAAGTATATGAGAGCAACTGAAACAATATTACATTACAGTACATTAATCAGTACTTAATACATTTCACTCATCAGTGGTTGAAACAGTTCAGATACAATCTGAAAATTACTTGATAAGTAATTAAAAATAGATGAGGGAATGTTTTAGTTATATTTGGAAAGTCAAAATTTGACTCTTAAGTTTAAACAAAAAAATCGTGTGATTGAAAACTTTTTTGCATACATTTATAGGATTTGATTTAAGATTAGCTGAGGGTTTTAAGTCCTCCCTTTAAGGAACAGGTGGCAGCTGTGGCTAACAACTTGCAGTCTTTGGAAGCTGCCAGTGATCCAGAATACAGTGGTGCAGGTAGTTTTTTGCTTCTGTCATTAAGTCTAATAAGACAGCTGCTCTGCAAGTTGCATTGGCTCCTTGTAGGCTTTGGGATGAAATTCAAGGTGCTGGTTGTCATTTTAAAGCCCTGTATGTAGGCCAAACTTTTATGCCTTTCTCCCATTGTTTCTGTTTGCCCTATCAGATCTTATAGAATAGGTTTTTTCCCCATTATTTGTTGGACTTAGGAGTCCTGCTTTTTCTGTAACTGCCTCCCTTTTTGAACAACATCCCACAGGTTACCTTGGCTCTTTTGGTCTTTTTTAAGACTCTGGCTACTTCCTTAGGTGTTTGGGTCTGTTGAGATTTGGATTATTGGAACTGGAACACATTACCTCTCATGTGATGAGTTATTTTCAACTGACAATTTTTTAACACTTGTATACATTCTGGGTCACTTCTATAAGATAAATGGCCTTAGGTGATTTTTTGAAATCATTATTAAAATTTTGTTGTTTAGAATGGAATTGACTATTTCGTTAACAGTTTGTAGAAGATTATGAACCTACCAAAGCCGATAGCTACAGAAAAAGAGTGGTCCTTGATGGAGAAGAAGTTCAGATTGATATATTGGATACAGCTGGACAGGAAGATTATGCTGCAATTCGTGATAACTATTTTAGAAGCGGAGAAGGTTTTCTCTGTGTATTTTCAATTACAGAGCTTGAATCTTTTGCTGCTACAGCTGACTTCAGGTAATTGGATGAGTGTTTTAATATTTTGAATGTTGATAATTTTTGTTTTATAAGTTCCTTGCCTTTTTATAATGGCAATTCTATAAACATCCACCAACTGATAAAATGGTACAAGAAAACTACAAATAACTGAAATGTCTGATTATTGCTCCAGATAACCATGTGTAACAGGCTATATCATTTCATAGATCCAGGGAAAAATTTACATGTGGCAAAGCATCCTGAGGCTATCCTAATTCCAGATTGTTTAACAATCTGGAATTAGGATAGCCTCAGGATGCTTTGCCACATGTAAAGCTTTTCTGGCAGGGGCAAAACATTGCAAACCCACCCCTACCCCACCCCCATGGTCACATGATGATAATCTACATGTTTGGCAGCTTGTTTACATTTACAACAGTATATTTAGTTCAAAATATCACAGATAAATAATTATATTTTTCATGAGTTTATAGATCAAAAGTGTGGTATTTTTTCTTCTCCAGAGAGCAGATTTTAAGAGTAAAGGAAGATGACAATGTGCCATTTTTGCTTGTTGGCAACAAATCTGATTTAGAGGATAGAAGACAGGTTTCTGTAGAAGAAGCAAAAACTAGAGCTGATCAGTGGAATGTTAACTATGTGGAAACATCTGCTAAAACACGAGCTAATGTTGACAAGGTAAAAGCTATTTCCCATTTTGGGTAATCCTCTTCACATAAGATTTGCCAACTATTATTTTTAAGTAACTGTATTCTCATACTGACTATAAAAATCCCAGTACAGGTTAGAAAATTTTAAATCTGAAAGATAGGTTTTAAAAAGTGGGTAGAAGTAATGAAAATCTTTATTCCACTTTTCAATATTACAATTTGCTTTATTTTCTGCTGCAATTGTTTCCATCCGGAGCAGAGTTTGGGAAATAAAAAAGGAACTGTTGTGGCCTGTCCGGCACCAGCGTGGAACTCAGGGTCAGCATTAGGATAACCTGGGAGCTCCAAGGTGGAAGAGGGAATGGAGCTGGCAGAGAGAAACAGAGACAGAGCCTGGGCCCTCTGTCAGCCCTCAGATGGAGAGTCAATAGCCCCCAAGTTTGGAGGTGGTTGATGAAGAAGAGGAAAAGCGCAGAAGGCAGAGAAGGAGAGAGAAATGGAAAGCCGTGGGCCGATCCTGGGGAAGAAAGAGCCACTGCTGCTAACGAGGCCTCACCCTAGCTCTGGGGATAAAAGGCAGGGAGCGGAGATGAATAGTTGTGCCAGCCTGCGAGATAAATTTTTTGCCAGGGATACTGGCATTCCTAATAAAGGAATCTTTTGAGTTCACATCAGAGGGTTTGTCATGTTTGGGGAGCTGGGTCAGAACACAACTTTGGCATGGAGGAGAATAAAATTAATGGTGCAGATGGTCCCCCCCCCCCCCCCCCGCCACATCTGACTTTCTGGGTCACTCTGTTCTTCATTGTCCTTTGCAGTTAGTTGCAAAGCAATTTCTGTCCTATGCTCATATGGAAGAGAAGAGAATATTGGAAATGGGAGATGGACAAGTATGGCCCTTTCTCTTTCTGACAGGATGTGGTAGCCCATTTTCTGATTTTCTTCTCATTAGCAGTTTTTTATCACAAGGAAAAAAATTAGGACAAAGAGGAGCAAAAGAATAAAGGAGCATAGTTTCTACAACCAAGGGTATGGTGACTTACATAAAAACGTGACTAGCAAAGAATTCTGTTAAAGTCAGATACTAGAGTCTGAGTCAGCAAACAGAATGGTTGAAGTATATGTGATGGCCAATGAGTTTTTAAAAAGTTTATTGACTGTTAGCTTGAAAGACTAGTTCTGTATTTGGTTGTATTTTTCATGTGTTAAATTTTAAACGTAAATTATTTCATTAACCTATAGTCAATTGTGCAAGATCTTTGTTTTTGCTGTTGAGACATAGCAAAAAAAATTCAGGTTTCAGCATATAATTTAGAATTAAAAAGATACATCGTGGCTTAATTAATAGCTAAATGAAATTAAGTACATGTTATATTTAAGCATTCAATCAAATGTATTGATTCTGATATTTCTCCTAGGTATTTTTTGACTTAATGAGAGAAATCAGAGCAAGAAAAATGGAAGACAGCAAAGAAAAGAATGGAAAAAAGAAAAGGAAAAGTCTAGCCAAGAGGATCAGAGAAAGATGTTGCATTTTATAATCAAAGTTTCAAACTCTTTTCCTAGTTCAACCACAATAAAATCCATTAACATAGAACATGCTATTTGGAGGCTGTTATGGCAGAAATCACTCTTAATAATTGGGGAATTCTAATATACCACTTAAGATATGGTTTGGACACCACTGAAAATCTTAATTGAAAAAAAAATAGTTTCAAGAAAAGCAGAATTTAATCCACGTAACTTGTTTTCTTTTGCCATGGTTCTTCTGAATGTATACATTTTTTTTCCTTCCAAGGCAGTTTCTTGAACTGAATGAAAAAGCATTACTGTTTTTCTTTAAAGCATATACTTTTATATCAGATTTTTACTTTATATCTTACTGCCTTGAAAATTAAGTGGTAATGAAAACTAAACAAAGATAGTAAATAATCTTTCTTTTTTGCTGTTAAAATTATGCAAATTAGAGAAGAGCCTATCTTCTCTGCTTCTATTGGAATCATTTGTATATGGAGCTAGACTAATGGTATAAATTTAGGACAATATTTGAATATGCCTTAATTTAAAAGTATATCTTCCTTGCAACACACTACATTTATGTGTGCATCATTGTGAAATAATATCTTGTAATGCAGTTTTTGAGCATTTTTACTAGCTAACAGTACAGTTGATCAGAAAAATGTGCCATACTCTGGATCTTGAATTATCCAGAATACTGTGTTTCCTTGCTTTAGTGAAAATTGCTTTAGTAAAAGTCAACTGATACATTGAATTTAAAAATGAAGTGGGTGCAGTGCATTTCAATTAGAAGTGTTTACTTGCTTCTTAATTCAGAGATACTGACATTTACTTTTCTAAGTATTTTATGTTTGCCTATTTGAGAAGAATATTTTCCTCGGGTAGGGTAGCACTATGGATTTCAAAAGCACAAATAAGGTTCCATTCTGAAAAATATGTAAGTTGTTAGAATTTTTTTCTAGATTTGAGAACATTTACTATATGTTATTTAATGGAAACGTACTCTTCTGGTTTATATCAGTCAACTGACTTATCTTCTTTTGCAATATCAAAATACTGATGATATGCTTCCAAAATTGTCATTAAAATATTAAAAACAGATTGTCTTCAATTCTTTATTGTAAGGAATATTATTACACTGTTAACATGTGTAACTGAGCTAAAGATAAAGCTCCAACTCAGAGACTTTTGGGAATTTGGGGTTTCACTATAAAAGATGACTTCCAAAATGCTTTTAAAATATATCTGTGTAAGCCTACATCTAACAAAATAGGCAGCATATGTACATAATGTACTAACTAATAGGCTTTATTGATGTTACTGTTTAGAGGTCATTTGTTCAAGAAATTTTGTTTGTACATCCTGCAGTAGATATTATGTGCAGAATTATTTCTTCATGTGGCTGCTAGCAGCTTTGGTCCTCACTGTGTATTTGTTTTCAGTCTGACTTAGCAAAGGAGTTCAACCACTAGCATTCTATTTGTGTAATGGGAACCAAAGTGTTATGATGCCAATGGACATGTATAATAATAATTGTCACAGGCGGATGCCTTACCAAACTTTATTTGCTATTTGAGCCATTGAATAAAGTTTTTTTTAAAGAAACTGTTGTAGAATGTTGATTATAAAATATTGTTGCAGACTAATGGTCATCATTAAATTTAAAAACATGTCTATAAACAGGATTTTGTATGAAGATTTTTCTAATAAATCTCTCAGTATTCTGCAATAAGGTTTTATTTTCCAATTATTCCAATTATTTAGTAAAGATTGTTAAAAGCTTTCCATCCCCCAAGAAGGATGTTCTAGAGAAACGTTGAGGGAGACTTACAAATGGAATGGGTATAAAATTGTTCTGAATCTAATACTGAAACAAAAATGTTACTTTAAATGGATGCTCAGGTCTTCTAAGCTATTGTGTACTCAACTTGAAAGTATTCATTTCAGGTTCTAAATTATTTGATTCTGAAAAAAAATAATTTTCTGCATAAGTAAACTATTTTTGCTTATTTACAATACCTGATGAACTTCCAGAAAGTTTTGCAAATAGAAGCTTTCAATCTATTGCAATGTAGAGGTATGTGTCAGGCCTAGAAGCCATCTTTTACATTGCGACTTCAGGCCAGCCATATTTTCTGCTGTGGGAAAATGGGGGGATTATATAGAGTATGGGGGATACATAGTCTAAATAACATTCCTTTCTCAGAGTCAAGGACATCTTACCCTGCACCTGAAATGATGTGACGGAGTTATCTCCAGTTGGGACGGTGCCTGGTTGGACCATGTGTTGGACATGTGGATGCTGGGCAGAGACTTAAACTTTCACTTGTGTGGGAAAAATCTGAAAGCTTTCAGATTCAGGTTTTCCCAGATGTGCCAATATGACATCTCTAATAAAATTAAACTTTGAGGAAACTCAAGCCTCAAAGGAGTCTTTCGTTGGGGGTGTTACTTGGAACCCTGACAGTATGTAGGTAATGTTTGTGTGATAATGTGTTAGTAGCATTCCTGATGAATAACATAGACATAAATCTCTACTTAACTCCCTATTCCATGGGTGTCAAACTCGCGTCATGGCAGTGTCACGTGAGGTATTAGGACTTTTCGCTAAACAGCATAGCTATGACAAGTGCGTTGAAGCATTCGGGTTGGGAGCTTGACAGCCCTGCCCTATTTCAACATTCATGTTTCAAACACTTGACTTCATCCATTCATCCCTCATAGCCCTTGACAAAATTGCACCTAATTAGGAAAAAAGCAAGTTCATTAAAAATATGAACTAATAAAAAAACCAGTTACTTAGTTGTATTGCTGTAAATGTTTATGGCTAAACACAATGTTAAATTTAGTCTTGAATTATATCCTTAGCAGCTGTGTCAAGCTATTCATAATTCTGGTGTTTTCCTCTTTAGCCATGCGCCATGCTGTAGAGTTTTTATCCTGATATTAAAGCTACAAATATTTTCTCCAATCATATTCTATATGGCTATATGATGAAACTTTTTTGCCTCGGGTGCCAAAAGCATGAGTGTGTGTGCTATCATGCTCGCTTGCTCGCATGCCCACCCACATAATGCCACCTGCACCTTATCCCTGCGCATGCACGCCCCACTTTCTTGGAGCTGGGGAGGGTGAAAACGGCCTCCCCCCCCCCCCGGAGGTTGGAAAGGCCCATTTTCCTGAAGCCTACAGAGGGCGAAAAACAGCCCAACATGCAAACTGGAAGTCCATTCCCGAATTGACAGGAAAGCCTCAGAAAGGCAGAAAATCAAGCCCAAAAATCAGCTGGCCAAGGGCGCGCTGGAGCTGACAAGGCAATGTCTCATGTGCCCTCAGACATGGCTCCACATGCCACAGGTTCGCCATCACGGCTATATGATATGGCATTAATTGTCTGAATTAATGATGTAGCTTTATGGTAGCTATTATTGCTATTACTAAATTCCTGAATATACCTCACATGATGCTCTCTCCTTATATCCACTGTTAAGCTAGAATGATAGTGTAAAAACTGTGAAAAGAGATTCATAAATAAATTGTTAAATTATCAATTAGCAATCTTATTATCTACATTTTGTTCAGAGTCATAAGCACAAGAGATAATACCCATCCTTTTGTGGATGAGGGAGGGAGCTGTTTCTGATGGGCTTTTTGACTTGGGAACATTCTGCCTAAAGATAATATTTTTAATGCTAAATTGCATTGCATTGCATTTGTCCTGACATTTCAAGTATTGTTTCTGTCAGTCTTAATAACTTAAATTTTGTTGAGTTTAATATTATTATTTACTATTTACACTATTGTACTGATTGATACCGTGGTAATCAAGATGAAAGCAATTTAGATATTTTTGAAATTAATAAATATTTAATAAACAACTATTTTCAAAGCTAGATTTGTAAATAGCTATTTATTTAGTCATTAAGAAAACTAATTCTTCTGCCAGATAAAGAAAGAACTTGCACATTATATAGTAAAGCTGCAATATAGTTTGCTTATTTTTGACTTAATTTGTTTTATAAATTTAGCCACTGCAGTTTGTAGTTTATTGTCACACATGACCTCAAAACATCTAAATTGAATAAAAATGAATTTGTCATCTGTAAATTCAGGTTATATAAAGTAGCACTTTTCTCACTATGACTTTTCTAATAATTGAGAAGAAAAAGATTATTTTTGTATTTCTTTTTTAAGGGGAGGGAGTAATGAATATAAATAGGAAAAAATCAATTTGGTTCAAGCAGTTTGTCTATTTAAAGATGTAGTCATCATGGGATTTGATCGTTATTAATGACAGAAATTAAACGGACAACTCTCAGAAATATATTATCACTATAATATGGGTTTTTAAGCTTGTCTTTTTTGGAGTGTAAGTTATGTCTGAAAAAAGGCTGGGCAACATAATGCTTTCCTTATCAAGGCCTTAAGGAACAATTAATATGATATGGGAAATGTTAAATAGAGCAAGATGCCCAGGAGTTGAAAGGAAGGCTATGTATGTGTCCAGTAGCTGCCCACTAGTTCTCAACTTATAACATTTTGTAACAGCAAGAACTGCTTAACTGGTCATAAAGCACTTTTTGTGAGGCCATCAAAATTCTGAATGGTGATAAAACAACAGATCATAAATTGAGGACAACCCATATATTGGTCAATGTACAGCTAAGAATGTCTGTCGGTTAGTCCATTCTCCATTCACCCACCCTCCAGGTAACATTCTTAATTCTGGAATTTCTATTATTGGGTAGGGCTCAGGTAATTATTCTAAGATGATGTTAACCATAATTCCATCCCCTTTTATAAGGTGACCAGACGTCCCGCTTTTGGCGGGATAGTCACGATTTTCCACAATTTGTCCCGCGTCATTGTTAAAAAGTCCCGATTTTTCATTTTGGGTGCATTGCAGCTCGCTCGCTCACTCCCCCACCCATCCGCACTAAGCCAGCCCAGCCTGCCTTTCACTGATTGGCTGGAGTCCAGTCAATCAGTGAGTGGGTGGGGGCAAAGCGTTTAAATTTAAAAGCTTTGTGCTGCTTGAGTCTGACCTCCATTTCACCTTCGCCTTCCAGGAGTTTGCTGCTTCCCCCTCAGGTAAGCAACTAAGCCACGGCGGCGGGACTCGGGAGGCTTCGGGTGGGTGGTGGTGGCCTAGCTTTCGTAAGGGAAGGCCTTCCCT